TTTCCTGTTCTTAGCTGACAGGAGCGGCACCCGGTGTGCTCTTCTGCTGCTGTAGCCCATCCGCCTCAAGGTTGGACGTGTTGTGTGTTCAGAGATGCTCTTCTGCAGAGCTCGGTTGTAACGAGTGCTTATTTGAGTTACTGTTGCCTTTCTATGAGCTGGAACCAGTCTGGCCATTCTCCTCTGACCTCTGGCATCAGCAAGGCATTTGCATCTACAGAACTGCCGCTCACTGGATATTTCCTCTTTGTCGGAGCATTCTCTGTAAACCCTAGTGATGGTTGTGCGTGAAAATCCCAGTAGATCAGCAGTTTCTGAAATACTCAGACCAGCCCGTCTGGCAGCAACAACCATGCCTCATTTAAAGTCACTTAAATCCCCTTTCTTCTCTATTCTGATGCTCGCTATGAACTGCAGCAGATCGTCTTGACCATGTCTACATGCCTAAATGCATTGAGCTGCTGCCATGTGATTGGCTGATTAGAGATTTGTGTTAACGAGCAGTTGGACAGGTGTACCTAATAAAGTGGCCGGTGAGTGTATATACAGTGCTCAGCATAATTAAGTACACCCTTTCTTGAAAATTATTATTGTTATACATTTCTTTGTGAATATAGGGTATATTTTTGTTGCATTTAAACTAAACAGTTTTATTAAACAGTTCTATTAGTTAAAATAAGAGTTTGGTCTCTGAACATCTTTAGGAATTAAAAGATAATACATCTAAATGTATATAAATAAATTTACAAACTGCACAATTTTAACTAAAGTTTATTTTCATCTTTCCTGTTGATTTAATTATTTTTTATATATATTTGTATATTATATTTATTTATTCCTGTTATTGTATTTAATATTTTCCCCTAACATTAAGTTGAATATATAAATATTTGGACTGATGTTATTAATTAATTAATTTTTTTTTTTTTTTTGTTAGATTAATTCCAATTTTGGCTTTAGCACTGACTAATTTAATGCATATGCACAAATATATTGTTTATGTATTTATGTTTATATTTGTGTGTATGTGTGTGTGTGTGTGTGTGTGTGTGTGTGTGTGTGTGTGTGTGTGTGTGTGTGTGTATTAATATAAATGTATTAATATAAATGAACGAGAGATCTGTGAGGGGTGAGATCATTTATTCTGAGCACTGTACGATGCAGAATAATTGAGAAATATCAGATTATCTCAACATAAATCCACTCATACCTTCCTCATATACAGTAAAAAGAAATAAGAAAGGATAAAAATAAGACAAAGTAACAAATAAAGGAGTAAATAAGCATGAAAAAATGAATTAAAAGTCTAAATAGATGTATAAAGGCTCTCTGAAGAGTCATTGTTTCCTCCGTTTTGCTCTTTTAGACACTGAAGTTGATTATTTTTGGTGTGTGAGAGACATTCGTTCGTTCGTTCTGAGAAGATTATTCCAGCAGATCATTCTTCTGCAAATCCTCCGTCTCATTAACTAGGGTTACACAATCTTTGCCGTCAGCGTGAGCGGAGAGAGGGAAAATAGGTCATGTGTGGTTTTTGGTGGCGTTAGAGACCTGATGAGTGCAAATATAATCAGTCTTTCCTATTAATCTGTCAAAGGTGTCATTATTAATAGACTTTATGCATCCTAAAGAGATTTATTTCACTATCCAGCTGCTGCATAAACATGATGTGCAAACCTGTTTAACCGAATGTTTTGCTGCACAGTCTTCATACATGTGGTTGTGATTTCTGCCTGTGTTTGTGGTCTGCAGATGTCGTGGAGCTCGGCGTACAGAAGCTCGAAGTTCCGGCATGTTTACGGAAAAGCGGGAAGCAGAGAGCAGTGCTACGAGGGAATTCCCATCACGCACAGCGTCCACGATAACCAGTTCTGTGCGGTTAACCCGAAATTCCTGGCCGTGGTCACCGAGAGCGCAGGGGGAGGAGCTTTTATCGTTATCCCGCTTCACAAGGTATCATTAACTAGTGGTAAAGACTCATTAACTAGTGGTAGCGGGGAAGACCCAGGACACGCTGGAGGGACTATGTCTCTCGGCTGGCCTGGGAACGCCTCGGGATCCCCCTGGAGGAGCTGGAGGAAATGTCTGGGGAGAGGGAAGTCTGGGGTTCTCTCCTAAGACTGCTGCCCCCACGACCCGGCCCCGGAAAAGCTGCAGAAGATGAATGAATGAATGACTTTTGTTGACATTTTAGTAGTTTGAAATAATTAAATACATAAGAAATAATTTAAAGAGAAATAAGGGTGTAAAATAACAGAAAATGTGCTGGCAGTTCAACACAAGGTTATTGTTGCATAATATACTTATGTAATATGTAAATGCATGTTTAACTGTTGTGCTAATAAACCAAGATTGAATTGAATTAACTCTGTCAGCCTTTTTTAGAAATTTAGAAAATTAGTTAGTTCAGTCCTCAAGTTGAAACTAACTCTGATAATCAAGAGTCGTGTTTATTGTCTTAAAAAGGCTGCTGTGAAATTAAATTCATCCTTCAGCAAATTCAGTGTGTTTTGTGAAATGTGGAAAAAACCATAGACTAAATAATTAAAACCATACTAAAAATATGGTTTGTAGCGCCTCCTTCTGGCACAAATAAAAATTGCAGACAACACTCTGAACATACACACATGATGTTTGTATATTGTATGATGTAGAAGTGTGTGTGTGTGTGTGTGTGTGTGTGTGTGTGTGTGTGTATTTGTGTGTGTGTTCTTTCAGCCGGGCCGAGTGGACCCTCATTACCCCAGAGTGTGTGGTCATCAGGGCAGTGTGATGGACATCAAGTGGAGCCCCTTCATGGACAACATCATCGCCTCCAGCTCTGAGGACTGCACGGTGAGACTTTAATTAATAAATATAAACGCATGATTAAATAGTAATCAGAATATTTATAATATAACTTGAGCTAAAGTTAAATGATATGAAATAATATAATGTGAATACAATAATAAAATAATAATATTTTATAATATAATAACCTGACATGCTATAATTAAATTCAATAATTAAAGATAAAACTGAAATTATTTATTAATTAATAATATCAACTATATATTTCTCTCTCTGTAAAAGTTTTTTATTTTTTTCTGTACTTTACACTACAGTTTAGCCCAATGTTGCACATTTAAGTGTAAATAGTGGTTAGAATTGCAAGATTTATACTATTGTGTTTTATTTTATATTTTTATTTACATTTTTTTATGTTTTTTTTTTTGTTTTAATGAATGCAATTTTTATATTTGCACTTGATGTCAGTGAATTATCTTTTTTATAACACTGTTAGCAAACGCAATACTTTTAACTTATTATTTATTTTATGTGCAATATATTAATATAAAAGTACACACACAAACAAGAGGCAAAATAAAATAGGAAATAAACAAAATATATATATATAATTTAAATGAACTAAATTGAAAAACTCTATGAAATTTGAGTAAAATAAATAAACCTAACGTCTGACCGGCAGGTGAGGATCTGGCAGATTCCTGACAACGGTTTGAGGCGGAACTTAACTGAAGCTCTGATGATTCTGATTGGCCACAGCAGGAGGGTGGGGCTTATTGAGTGGCATCCCACCTGCAGTGGCATCCTGTTTAGTGCCGGATACGACTGTAAGGTAACCACGACAACCAGAACTAACCCTAAAGGGGGTCACACACCAGAAGCGGCGCGAAACAGCACCATGCATTTCAGAACTCTAAACGTAGGTTTCTATCAGGGCACACACACCGGCCGCGGCGCCAAAGAGCATAGAATCACAAGAGGCGACACTCGAGTGCAATTTGGGAAACAGCCACTAGATGGCGCGGCGGGCAATTTGGAATGAAAACTCCAGTAGAACAACAGCATATAAGTGTGTAAAATAAACGGTTAAAAGTGCTGATGTGATAGTAAGTGCTGTATTGTCGTCTTTCAGGTTGTATCTCAGCTTTAATGCGCTTTTTAAATAAATAAATAAAAAACAAAGCAGCTGCTAGCCATCGCCACAGCAATAAGATCCAAAGGACAGCCGACCGCTTTCACTCCAAAATGGCAGAATCCGGGGCTGTTGCTGGGCGCTGCTGTTGCAATGGAACGTTCTATTGAGTGTCGCCTCTTGCTCATTCTAAGCTCTTTGGCAGCGCCCAGCCACGACTCAGGACACTGTTCATATTTCTGCCCCGCCACTGAACACCATCTGAATAATTTAATCTCAAATAACATGCGTATGTGCGCATCTGGTGTCCGATACTTTCAACTGTCATGTGCGCGCTGTGACGCCCTTTAGGCTGCGTCCAAAACCGCTTACCACCCAAGTACAGTATGTACAACATTTTAATTTACTACACAACCGTCAGAAAACTCTGCTGAAAATCCAGGATAATTCTAAAACCAGCCTGGTCGACCAGCTAAAACCAGCCAACCAGCTTAGGCTGGTTGACTGGTTGGCTGGTTTAAGCTGGATTTTTCAGCAGGGCTATCCCTTTAACCAGCGACAGGAGAAATTATTTACAGAAATAAACCACAATTTCCAGCTTTAAACGATGTAAAACCAGACCAAGATGTTCAGTAGGTTAAAAAATGTACCATTAAATGTTAAAAATCATGGCAGACAGCTAGATTTGTTAAATCTTAAAGAAATATGCCGTATAGCTGTAGAATTAAATAGTGTAATCTTGGGAAAAAAAATCTGAGAAAGCAGCAAAATCAAGAGTGAAAACAGTAAAGCATGCCCAAGCCTGTTGGTCAATCTCTCTGAATTTAAAGACTCAATACTTTAAATACTCAATAATAACACTATATTAAATAAATCTAAATAATAGATTATACTGTCAGCGTACATTAGTTATAATATAACCATCTTAAAGCATTTGTTAAAGTGATAGTTCACCAAAGAAGGAACATTCTGTCATCATTTACTCACTCTTCACTTGCTGGTTTTGGTTTCTTTCCTCTATTAAACACAAAGATATACCTAAGAATGCCAAGACTTCCAGAGAATTTTTTGTTCCAACTAG